TTACTAGGGCTTCTTCCAGTGTTGATTTTAAGCTTTATTGCATTGTGCTCTGATAGAATGCATGCAATTATTCCAATTTTTTGTATTTGTTGAAATCTGTTTTGTGCCTCAGTATGTGGTCAGTTTGAGAAAGCTCAATCGGGTACTGAATAGAAAGTATATTTTTTGGTGCTTTGGTAGAATATTCAGTAGATGTCTGTTAGGTCCATTTGATATATGGTATCATTCAATTCAGATGTCTCTCTTGTTTATTTTTTGTCTGGTTGACCTGTCTATTAGAGATAGTGGGGTACTGAAGAGCCTTACTAGTGCTGAATTTGGGTTAATCTGTGTCTTTAAGCCCTGTTATACTTTTTAAATGAAATTGGGTGCACCAGAGTTTGGATGTTCATGATTGTAATATCTTCTTGATTCATTGTTCCTTTGATCAGAATGAAGTGGCCCTCTTTGTCTCTTCTAATTAGTTTTAGTTTAAAGTCTATTTTGTCAGATATTAGTATTGCTACATCTGCTGTTTTCTTAGTGCCATTTGCTAGGTATATTTTTTCCCATCCTTTCACTTCGCGATAGTTTCTGTCCTTGAAAGTGAGATGAGTTTCTTGCAGACAACAAAAAATGGGTTTTGTTTCTTAATCCATTCACCTAGTCTGTGTCTTTTGACTGGGGAGTTCATCCATTAATATTTAAAGTTATTAATGAAAGACGTGTATTGAACCCTGTTATTTTTATTTCTGTTCACATTCTTGATATAGCTGTGAATTTCCACAGTTATACCTTCATTGAATATCTTTCCACAACCCCTTGAGTATAGTCATTCCTTTCTTCAGCTCTTTGTATTGCTTCAAGAACTCTCTGAAGGACTGGTTTTGTGGACATGAATTCTTTCAGCCTATTTATGACGTGGAATATTTTTCTTTTCCCTTCAACTATGATAGATATTTTAGCTGGATAAAGTAATCTGGGTTTGCATCTGTGGTCATTTAGAAATGGGAATACTTTGGTCCATGTTTTTCTGGCTTTCATCATTTGCATTGAAAAGTCAGCTGTAATCCTAATGGGTTTTCCTTTATATGTGACTTGTTTTCCTTTTGCAGTTTTCAGTATTGTCTCTGTTCTGAACGTTTAGTGTTTTTACTATGATGTGCCATGGAGAGTTTCTTTTCTGGTCCTGTCTGTTTGGTGTTCTATATGCTTCTTGTATTTGTATGGGTGTGTCTTTTTTAATTTGGGGAAATTTACTTCTACAATCCTGTTGAGGATCTGGTCCATACCATTATCTTGAGATTCTTCTCCTTCCTGTATGCCTATAATTTGTAAGTTTTTTTTTTAATGCTGTGTCACACAATCCTTGCATATTCCATTCTTGTGTTTTCTTAAATTTTTAATAATCTTTGCTTGCGTGGTCAAGTTTGTCCACTTTATCTTCCAATCTTGATACTCTGTTTTCCATTTCATTCATCCTATTGGTGAGGCTTTCTCCTGTCATTTCTAATTGGCTTTCTGAGTGTTTCACTTCCTTCTTCATTTCAGCCTTAGTATTCTTCAATATTTTTCTTTTCTGAATTCATTCAGAAGTTTATCTCTATCTTCCCTAAGTTCTTTGAATTCTTTGTGTGTTCCTTAAATTCACTGAATTCTTTTATCATGTTTATAATTGTTCTTTTGAGTTCCAAGTCCTATGTTATCTCTAGGGGGTTCTCACTGTATTCCTCTAGAAGACTATTGGTACTTGGTGGAGATATATTATTTTGGTTTTTCATGTTGTTATTTTTTCTCTGTGACTTTGACATGTGAATTTCTTTCATAGTTTCTGATTCTTGTGTGAGACTCAAGGCTTCCTTTGTTGAATTTAGGTCTCTTTCTTTCTGCAACTTTATGTGCCTTTGTGGTTTACTTGTTGGGCCTGAAACACTGGTTGGCCTAGGCTTCATGTTCTCTCTTTGGATTTTATATTGGAGGGGCCTAATTCCTTTTGTCTTCAGGAGTTCCTACAGAGGCCCAAGTGAGATGAGGCTCAGATACTCTCAGGCTTTCTCCTAAGGTCTGGATTCCTCCAGGAAAGATGCTGTCCTCAGGAATTTGTGGGATGGGCTGGCCTGGGAGCAGGGCCCAGGAAAGATGCTGGTCTCAGGAAGCTAGTGGCTGTGCCACCCAGGGATGCAAAGGGAGGTGGGGGTGGGAAGAGGCACGAGAGCTCCTGGGCACTACTGGGAGGAACTGGGTTGGTCTGGATGCCAAGGATCAGGAAGCAGTGGGGATTCTGGGCCTAGAGGTTAGTCTAGGAGTCTGTGGTTCCAAGACAAGGAATGGGTGAGTACCCAGGCTAGGAGGGGAGCTGGGAGGGTGAATGAGGCTGGGGAAGTCAAGGCAGTGGGTACCACTGGATTTACCCAGGAAAGATGCTGGCACTAGGATGCCAGGGGTTGTGCAGCCCAGGGAAACAAAGGGAGGTGAGGGTGGGACCAGGCCCAGAGGGCTCCTTGGGACCACAGGGAGGAACTGGGTTGGTCTGGATGCAAAGGATCAGGAAGCAGTGGTGGCTCTGGGCTGAGAGGTTAGCCTCAGTGTCTGGGGTGCCAAGACAAGAAATGGGCCAGTATCCAGGCTAGGAGGAGAGAGGTGGTGGGGGAAGTGGGAGGGTGAAAGAAGCTGGGGGAGCCAAGGCCAGTTGGGTGAGTTGGACTTACCCAGGAAAGGTGCTGGCACCAGGACACCAGAGGCTGTGCAGCCCAAGAAGCAAAGGGTGGTGAGGGTGGGACCAGGCCCAGAGGGTTCCTGGGGACCAGGAAAGGTGCTGGCCAAAAAATAATAGTTTTAAAAGAAAAGTAGCCCGAGGTTTTCTAGAACAAAAAGGCAAAGGGGATGAAAAGGAGATGGCAGACTAGTTAGAGTTTCTCTTTTCTGCATCTGTGCTGATGACCCAGAGAGGATCCCAAGTCTGCTCCCAAAATCTCCTTTGTTCCTGGATACCTTGTCAGAAAGCAAGCAGCCTACAGATTCCCTGATGAATATGATCCACAAGAAGGGAATGTTTGTCTTGTGTAGAAAGCCATGCCTGCCTTCTAACCTCATCCCATCCCATATTGTCATCTTTGTCATCCCTCCCCCGCATCTGTGTATGCCTCCCCCTTCTCACAGACTTTATTCATCGTCTATGAGATCAGTGTAAATAAACTGCTCAGACTGTAAGCAACCCTGGAGAAATGATACATCCAGGGTAGTAGTCTACTTAACAGGAGACAAAGCTGCCCCTGTAGCCTGTCACATACAAATCCTATCATCCATCTGCTTAAGGATGTAGCAAGGTGTAATGAGAAAATAAATGTAGACTACCTTGTGGTGGTGGTGATGGTGGTAAGGTGTTCTGGTAAAAACTCATGCCTAAGCAAAATGATAGACACTGTTTAAAACAAGTTAGGGAATCAATTTGTTAAATTATGTCAGAGTACAAGCTGAAAAGGAAATGAAGATGAGTTACTATACTACATCAGCAGTTTTGACACTTTAACATGAAGCATGATCCAAACTTATGATGCAGACACAGAGGGCCCACCCTCAGGGGACCCTGATTCAGTGTATCAGTGACTTTTCTTTTTCTTCTGGTTGATGGTGCTAGGAGATGAGCCCAGGTACTTGAGCATGCTAGGCAAATAATCTACCATCAAGCTACCTCCTCCCTCCTCCCTCCTTTTTAAAAAAATATTTTTATGTGTATGAGTGTATTGCCTACGTGTATGTGAGTGCACCCATGTCGTGAAATGCTGTGGAGGTCAGAAGAGGGTTTTGGATTCCCCTGGAACTGGAGTTAAGGACGGTTCATAACCACCATGTGGGTGCTGGAAATTGAACCCAGGTCCTCTGCAAGAGCAGTCAGTACTCTTAACTGCTGAGTCATCTCTCCAGCCCCCCTCCTCCCTCCTTTTAACAAGTGTATTAGTTCATCCTGATATGGATGGCTCATGGTCCGCACTTAAAAAGAAAACATTCTTTTAGAAAAAGAAATTTCTTGAACACATAGAATTAGGAGACTGTGTCACAAGAATACAGATGATAAGTTTTCCAAAGCATCCCAGGAGTATGTGAGGGAGACCTTAAATGTCTGCTTTGCAGTTGAAATCCCTGCACACTGGACTGACATGAATCAGCAGGATTTGCTCATGGTCAATCTGCGTACCGATGACCCAGAATACACCATGGTGGCAAGCAAGTTCAATCAGACCTGTGCAAAATTTACCATAGAGAAGGTAAGTCTGCTGTGGACATGGAGTTTCTAGATGGTGGAAATAAATTAGATCAGAGTCCTGTATAAATACTCTCAAATATGGGGGTGGAAAGGTGGCTCAGTGGCTAAAAACAAGGACTGCTCTTATAGAGGGGGACCCAAGTTCAGTTCCCAGCACCCACACCAGACAGCTCACAACTGCCTGTAAGTCCTGTTCCAGGAGTGCCAACATCCTCTCCTGTACTCTGCAGACATTGTGGTCATGTGTATAGACACACACACACACACACACACACACACACACACACACACACACACACACACACACACACACACGAGTAATTTAAAAATCTGTTCCCTGAGTTTTCCAGGCGGCTGGGAAGTTACTCATCGGAACTTACAGCAATAGTAACAGCAAGCACAAAACCAATGCACACTCAAGCCAGACAAAATCCCAGAAGAAAAGTGGGGAGGTGGGAAAGAAGGCCCAGCCTCAGCTGAGGAACTACTGGTACTGATAACTACTGGGAGAGGAGAGGCCGTTTCTTTAAGAGCGTGACGCTGGATAGGTTAACCAGGGTTCAGTGAATGGAAACACATTTGAGGATACAAACTTGACTCAATAGGCTTTAACATATATAACAGAGTACATGAAATCTGGCATTGCTAGGGACTATAGGAGGGGTACAGATAGAGGAGAGGTCTAAATATGATCAAAATATATTGCAGGAAATTTGCAAAAATTCAATAAAAAGAAAAAAATTGAGTTGAAATTTGACGTACAATCTGGTTCATTTTATATTGTATGTCTGACACATAGTAATGTAGTATGTGCTCAATCAACACTGGCTGACTAGATGAATAGGAAAAAAATGAGTCTTGCACTTTTTTTTTTTTCTTTTTTGAGATAGGGTCTCCCTGGTAGCCTCAGATGGTCTGGAACTCCCTATGTAGACCAGTCTGGACTTGATTTCACAGAGCTCTTCCTTGCCTCCCAAGTGCTAGGATTAAAGGCATGCACCAACACTTGTAGCTGAATCTTCCCCTTTTTAAATGGACTAACCAGCCTCAGCTTATCTTGTCTCACCATTGCCGGTGTACAGAGTTGGAATCACTCACAACCACTTGGCCTGAAATTCTAAGTAATAGTTGACAGGAAATGGGCAGAAATTCTTTCCTTGCTTCTTTTTATTGTTTGTATAACTAATAAGTGCTGTGGTAACAAAAAGCTAACGGCCAGATGAAGAACAGAAACATATGGGGACGTGTAAGGCAACCTTGAGAGCGGATATCTGAAAAAATGCTTCATTTGGTTCATCTTGGTATGATCATAAAACTAGCGTGTGTGTGTGTGTGTGTGTGCGTGCATGTGTGTGCGTGCGTGTGTGTGTGTGCGTGCGTGTGTGTGTGTGCGTGCGTGTGTGTGTGTGTGCGTGCGTGTGTG